TTGTTTCCACAACCCATTTCTCCATACGGTGTCGTATGCCTTTTTCACGTCCAGGAAGAAGCAGTACGTCGGCTTTCCCGCCCTCTTTCCACCTTGGATGATTCTCCCTACCGTGAGTGCGTGGTCTACGCACCCCATCTTCTTTCGGGAACTTGCCTGGGGAGGGGGGGGGTACTCATAGCCGTGCATGCCGTAGTCGTTCGACCATTGACCTCGCATCCCTATAAAGCCGGGACGGAGCACGCCGGGTTCTCACCGGACCAGGCTCTAGAGGGAGATGCGGGATGAGCATGTTCACCCTGAGGTGCTTGCATTCCACGGCGGTTGCATTCGGTTAGCTTTTTCTGGCGATGTGAACACGTTCTCATTGTATGCGTTTTGGTCTGTTGTGTATGCAGTCCGCTTGTGCCCCCTTTTCCCGTGGTGTTCGTTTCCGTTATTGTGTACTCTTTCATGTACTTATATCGTTCTTTTGTAAGGGGGTCAAGTTTTTTACGTTCGTGGCTGTTCACTCATGTGAAGTGAAGCAGCCGTGGCCTTTCCCCCCCTACATAATGCTGCGTGTTTCTGAGTGAACAGTAGGCACCGGGTGGCATGATTGTGGGTGTGTGCATGTGCTTTTGGTGACCTGCCGCATAGGTTCACCTCTTTCTCCGCAGTTTCCGTCATTTTCGCATGCTTGCTGCCTCACCGCATGCAAGCGTCTTACCTCTCGCCGCTGGCACTCCTTGATACAGTTGGCTCCTGCACTTGAGAACTTGGGGGTTAAGAAATTCAGGCTAGAAAGAAAGACACAATTCGGAAGTTGGCAATAAGAACACGTGCTCGGTCAAGTGGCCTACACTACAACCCATACAAGAACGGGCGCTCGGTCAAGTCGCCTACCAAAAACATAAATGAGGACGCGTGCTCAGTCAAGTGGCCTGCCTTAAAACCTATATATGAACGGGTGCTCGGTTTAGTGGCCTACCCTACAAGCTGTAGAGTCGCTATGGGAGTACCCCAAAACGAAAATATGGGACAAGCCTTGTTAAGGTTCTCAAGTGCCGGCGCTAGCTGCTGTAACCCCACCCCGCAACACGCCGACACCACCCGCTTCATGAACCCCCGGCCATACCCACGAAACCGCCTCTTTTGTCCTGTTTTTGTGTATCCGCTTCCTGTACCCGGTACGGTACGGTTTTTGTTTGTGTGCTGTGTGCGTTGGAAATCTCTCGGGGGGGGGAATACTTTCACAGACGAATCTCCCGGAAATTGCGTTCCTGGGGCGATCAAACGTGGGCAAGAGCAGCATGCTCAACACTCTCTTCGGGGAGCCGGTGGCGAAGGTGTCCAAGACTCCCGGGCGCACTCGCAAGATCAACATTTTCAAGGTGGGTGCCAAGAAATACAATCTAGGCATTGCGGTCGGAACGGGATCATGCCGAGAATCTCTGTAGGCACACACAGACCACGTCGTTTACCGTTGCACGTGGCAGTGATTTTAACGTAAACCGAATTAACCCCAGCGTCTGGTTTCGAGCAGATTGTTAATCCCGTGCGTTGTCGATGTAGCAGATGTCCGTTTCTCCGGGAGCTTTGATTCCGGTCAGGATGATGCCCCACGATGGCGGTAGCGAGGAGCACGCTTGACCCATAGGAGAAAAAGAACTGCACTGTAGGCAAAGTGGGCGGTAGAGGTCGAGGTGGGGACTCCCGGGCATCGGAAGGAGTCGTGCTTGCACCCTCGTCACAAAGATCCCTGCACAATTTGTGTGCGGCAAGGAAAAGTCTCCAACACGAATTCGGATGCCATCGCTTCTTTCAGAAGCGTGAGTCACAAGTAGCACGCAACATACGAGGAAGCTATTTCAGACGCGCCATTATCTTGAACAGGCTATCCTCCCCCAGCTGCAAGGCGGGGGACGAGGGTAGTTTGTCGTTTTTTTCCCGTCGATCAGTCCAGTGCACGACGTTCTTTGTTTTTTTTTGCTCATGTGACGTTTCGCTCTTCCTTACCTTTCATCCCACCAGGCGAAGAACGGCAACGACAAGGACGTGTGTTACTTCGCCGATTTGCCGGGGTACGGGTACGCTAAAATGTCCAAGGACAAGCAGCGCACCATCGAGGTCCGTGTCCATGGTGCCATAGCAACCCCCCCCCCCCCCCCCCCCCCCCCCCCCCCCCCCCCCCCCCCCCCCCCCCCCCCCC